TCCGAATAAACGAAACGTAGCTTTAGATATATGGATAATATGATAAAAGGAATATGAATAACAGAGTAGAGCAGCATGATTACGAAGATGGTAAGACGGTTAATAATTATTATGAACATTATTACCATGATTGTTATATAAAGTCACGCAATAACAATATAAACAATGACATTAATGAAGATCATAATTATACTAATGACAGCATGTTTTTGTTAATGATTGTGGTAAAAATATTATCATATAATTGACAATAATGATGTCATGTTAGAGACACAAAATAACATTTTTTTTCTAATTTCTATTCTAATAAGTAATTATAATGGCAAAAATAGTATGATATAAATGCGATAAAAATTATAATGTTATATGCTAGAAACACACAGAGAATAACATGTTTTTCTCCTTAATCTCAAACTTGTTTCTCCTTCCCCTCAGGATCCTCCCCAAGGGCAGCCGCGGCACCCACAGCGGCGCTGGCTCGGGGGCCGGGAGCGGCGGGGGGAGCGGGGGCAGCATCAGGGACGCGGGGGGGTCCTTCGGGAAGCTGGCCGTGGCGCAGGAGGAAGAGTATTTCCGCAGGAAGGTGCGTCGTCGCAAAAGGAGGAGGATGAAGGATTTTGAAGGAGATTGATTTTTTTTTTTTTTTTTTTTTTTTTTTTTTTTTTTTTTTTTTTTTTTTTTTTTTTTTTTTTTTTTTTTAGGTGCGTGGGCGTGGATTTATATGGCGTTGCGTAAGGCGTTTAGAATTCCGAAGTTGGATGCGAGATAAAGTGAGATACACAGAATGTTAATGGGAGTTTGGGAAGAGGCTTTGCGGAAAGTTAATAACAAAGGAGGTAAGAGTGGAGTTACGCGGATAAAGCCTGGAAAGAGGAAGGAACTTGAAATGGGTTTAAATGTGTATTTTATCGTCTTGCTTGTACCCCATTACTCTTTATTTATAACATTTCGTCCAGTTTTTCGAGCTGGACTTTCATGGCTTTCTATCAGTGGATTAGATTTTAATGGTTCTATTCCATTTCGTATCGATTTCCGAATCCCATCGGTCGTCAGATTAGCAGAAAATACCAGATTTGCTCATTTATAATGCCAACAAACCAGATTTTGCCGGTTAACCATGGTAAATCGGCCCATTCTCCTTCATTACGTGTCGGGGTGTTAGTATGTACATCATGGTTGAATAAACGCGAACCTAACTTGATTTAGGCATAGATTGAATATGAATAAACAAATGAATAAATAAACGTGAACTCAACTTGATTTATGCATAGAGATTTAAAAAAAAGGAATTCCTACTCATTGTAATGCAATATTGGGCAAATTGAATTTATTTTACGGTAGGCCTCCAAGTTAAATCGTATTTATGTACGAATCGTAGCAAAGTAACCATCGCTTCCAGATGTCCATAAACTTTGCCTTCGTTTTACAGCAAAGAGAGCAACTGGTCAAGCTCCGCCAGAAGCTGGAGAGCGAACGGGACGCGACGGCCAAGAGTCCACCAATCGTCGAAGACCCAGAATGCGGTGGGACTTCAACCCCGAGTGTCAGCTACGCGGACTCTCGTGACGACGGCCTCATCAAGGACCAGGTTTTCCTCCAGCGCAAGCTTGAGGAATACGAAAACCTTGTGAAGCATCAGCAGGAAGATATCCGGAGAATGCTGGAGTTGGTGGATGAGAACGTGCGGATCATCAGCCACTTCCAGGAGGAGATCGGGTTCCTGAAGTCGACGATGGAGATCCAGAAGCTGTTTCCCGAGTTGGACCTTGGGCGTGAGCCGCGCTTCGAATGCTTCGAAACCTTAAAGCCTCGAAATGGTAGCTTCGAGTCGTAACTCTTCCCAGTATTCATTCGAGATCAAGCCATTCGAGTCACTCAACTCATTGTTATTGTTATTATTATCTTTATTTTTATTGTTTACTTTTTTTTAAACTCCATACTTCTTATTTAGAGAGGATCTCTGGTACCTTGGCTTATCACACATTTAAAGCTGTCCCTCTTATTTTCCTTATACTTACTGTTGAAACCGGTGAATCCCCTGGCCAGCTCTTCGTCGTCAAGAGGCCCCACGATGGCACCGATCACAAAGTCGACAATGGCGACGAGCAGCACCACTAGAAGCACCAATTGGGCCTGGAAGAAAAGAAATTGTTTCTTTAAGTTACCTTTTTTTCTAATCATTCGCTCATGTGTATGATTCAAGTTGTCCTTTATTTGTCAAATGCTTTCTGCCCTCTTCAATCTGATGACAATCTGACTTCTTTATTATTTTTGCTTTATTATTATTATTACCATTAAGTAAGAACCGTATTTATGTTGACAAATGTAGGAAAGATATGAATGAGAAGGAACAACACATGATATATGAAATTCATGTATTTCTGACGAAAATATATTTGAAACCAGTCAAATATACCTCATGTTTTGTGAAGATATTCATTCCCATTCATACCTATTCTACAAATGACAAGCAAATTTACGTGACGTGTACTCTGCAACTCAAAAGCGAGGGCGGATGGCATATAGTCGTCGCATGTTGATAGCCGTAAAAGGTCGCATTCCCAAAATATCTATTCCAGTCAGTTCCAGTTTCTGTGATTCTTGTGGGCGAATCTGGCCGGACCTTTCCGGTTTTGTATGCATTGTTAAGCGCTCGCAGTTCACTATACTCCATGCTAACTGGACCTGTCTTTTAAGAGGGATTGCAGAGCTTTACGGGGAGCCTAAGCGAAATGTATGCTGTGAATCTTACGAATGGAAATACAATACTTACTGACATGGGGCTTTTGGTGATTGAACTTGTTCCTCTCTTATTTGCTTTATTGTTTTCTTATTTTCCTCTCAACATCTTTCTCGCTTTTCCTACACCCTCTATTCGTTTACACCTCCCTCATTCCTGTTTCTCCTTTTCCCCTCCCTTCTCCTCCTTTTCCTCTTCCCTCTCTTTTCTTCACCTTCAGTCTTCTTCCCCATTCTTCCTCAGCTCTCCCCCTCCTCCTCCTTCTCTTCCTTCCACTACTCCAGTTACTCTTACTCGACCTCCTCTTCCTCCTACCCTTCCTCCTCCTCTTCCTTCTCCTACTCCTCTTCGCCTTGTCCACCCTCTTCTCCTTCCACCTATTCCACCTCCTTTCCACCCCCCCTCTCTCTCTCTCTCCCAGCTCCCCACTCACCCTGGCTTCCCACTCCATGCCGATGAGGCAGATGGCGAAGAGGACGACGAGGGTGACGCTCCCGACCACCCTGACGTCGTTGACTCCGCCGTCGATGATTTTGACGTGAAAGGAGGCCAGGAGGTCGTTGATGGACTCGCAGAAGCCCACGATGTACATGGAGGCGGCGATGGCGTTGGCGACGGAGAAGATGAGGCCGATGGCGCCGCCGAATTCGGGTCCCAGAGAGCGGCTGATCATGTAGTACGTTCCTCCTGCGGGGACGGATCAAGAGGGTTGGGGGGGGAAAACTGCTTTTATCGATCTTCCTCCGCGGATTTTTTTTTTTTCTTTTTTTTTTTTTTTTTCCCGCTCTCGCTTTCTGTGTCTGTCTCTTTCTCTCTTTCTCTCTGTCTTTCTCTCTTTCTCTCTCTCTCTCGCTCTCTCTCTCTCTTCTCTCTCTCTCTCTCTCTCTCTCTCTCTCTCTCTCTCTCTCTCTCTCCTCTCTCTCCCTCTCCTCTGCCTCTCCCCTCTCCCTCTCCCTCTCCCTCTCCTCTCCTTCTCCCTCTCCCTCTCCTCTCCCTCTTCCTCCTCTCTCCTCTCCCTTCTCTTCCTCTCCCTCTCCTCTTCCTCTCTCCCTCACTTCCCTCTCTTCCCTCTCCTCTCCCTCCTCCCTCTCCTCCCTCCCTCGCTCCCTCCTCTCCTTCTCCTCCTCCTCTCCCTCCTCCTCTCTCTCTCTCTCTCTCTCTCTCTCTCTCTTCTCTCTTCTCTCTCTCTTCTCATCTCTCCTCTCTCTCTCTCTCTCTCATCTCTCGTCTTTCTTTCTCTTCCTCTCTCTTCTCTCTGCTTCTCTCACTCTCGCTCTCTCTCTCTCTCTCTTCCTCTCTGTCTCTCTCTCTCTCTCTCTCTCTCTCTCTCTGCCTCTCCCTCTCTCTCTCCCTCTCTTCTCTCTCTCTCTCTCTCTCTCTCTCTCTCCCTCTCCCTTCCTCCCTCTCTCCTCTCCCTTCTCTCTCTCCCTCTCCCTCTCTCTCCTCTCCCTCTCCCTCCTCTCCCTCTCTCCCTCTCCTCTCTCTCTCTCTCTCCTCCTCTCCTCTCCTTCCTCTCCCTCTCTCGTTCTCCTCTCTCTTCTCTCCCTCTCTCTTCTGTCTCTCCTCTTCTGCTCTCTCGTCTCTCTCTCTCTTCTCTCTCTCTCTCTCTCTCTCTCTCTCTCTCTCTCTCGCTCTCTCTCTCTCTCTCTTCTCTGTATCTCTCCTCTCTCTCTCTCTCTCTCTCTCTTCTCTCTCTCTCATTTCTACTCTCTCCTCTTCCCTCTGCCTCTCTTCTCTCTCTCCCTCCCAGCTTTTCTCCTCACTGCATTTCTACCCTCCAAGGCACAGAGGAAATTAATTTTACATATACAAACTTCTGGAACTGGCTTTTGTTGGGCGTTCTCAGAAAAAAAAATAGTTTTCTGTAATGGTGAAATAAGAAGTATGTTTATTTCACACATTTTTTTTCTAATCATCAGTCTAGAAGAGTACTAATAGCGATAAGTCACGTGTTTGATAACCTAACTTCAAACATTTACTTGGCCATGAGTGAGCAAAGAAAAGTGTTGCCGGTGACGTTTTGAAAATTTTCTTGATTGACATTTTCCAAATCAGAACCGACACGGGTCCACACCCATTCACATGTGTGCGCTGTGTCATCGATCGGACGTTTCCTAAAGTCGACACCGGCCGCTGAGGTTAATCTCCTCAACAGCGACTGATTAAGAAAATATTCTACATATCCTAGAGGGAGAAGCACGGATAAAAGGACAAAGAAAGAAAGAACGAAAAGAATTGGACAGAGAAGATTCGCGAGTAA